GATGAAAAACAATCTTGCCATTTGCAACAACGCGGATGGCACTGGAGGGTATTATGGTAAGTGAAGTCAGTCAGTCAGAAAAAGACAGGTATCGTCTGTTTTCACTCATATGTGCAATTTGAGAAACTGTTTAACAGATGACCACAGGGGAGGGGAAGGGAAGGAAAAAAATGAGATAAAAACAGAGAAGGAGGCAAACCATAAGAGACTCTTAAATACAGAGAACAAACTGAGGGTTGATGGGATGGGGGGTAGGGGAGAGTGGCTGATGGGCATTGAGGCAGGCACTTGTTGGGATGAGCACCGGGTGTTGTATGTGAGTGATGAATCATGGGAATCCACTCCTGAAGCCAAGACTACCCTGTATGTTAGCTGATGTGATAAATAACACACACACACACACACACACACACACACACACACACACAGAGAGAGAGAGAGAGAGAGAGAGAGAGAGAGAACAGGAGAATACCTCTGATTATAGGAAAAAAAAAAGGGAAAAAAAATCACCGTATCTGATGGGACCTTGTACAGTGGCACCTGAACAGGTGCCTTTCGGACCAGGAACTCACAAGAGAGTCAGCAGATCAAGAAGGGCAGTGATTTCCCCTGACATCCAACCAGCATTTTATACCGTAAAAAAAGTGTTTTTATGGCTATTATTTTATCTCTCCTTCACAACACACCTGTGAAAAAGGTAGGGCAGGTATTCTTATCTTCATCTGACAAATAAGCCACCTGTCATTTAGCTTCTGAAGAGATGCTAAGCTCTAATTAAAGTTTTACAACAGCAATTAGTGTTTACAGAGGTAAACAGTGCGTCCAGTTTACAACATGATTTCAGAAACCTGAGAAAGAGCAGACTGTCCCCATCCCCAAAGTGCAGAGACACAGCCATCCTCCTAACCAACGGCCCTCACTTCCTTCGTAGCTGGCCCCAAGAAAAGGGGACAGTCACGAGCAATCTATAAAAGCTTGTACCTCGTCACGCTGACAGGTGGCCTTAGGGTGTTCTCTGGAATACCATAATAAAGGGGTTTTCGTTAATGAAATCACAACTGGACCAGTCAACAGAAGTAGGACAGAGATCGTGTGGAAAAGAGGTCACACAGAAACAAATGACTGATATGGACAGGGTGGCCTGGAGGAAGATGAATCTGGAAGGGGTACCCAGGCGAGACTGTCCTGTGTAGCAAGTAAGAACAGAGGACACCCGGCTAAATTTGAATTTCAGATGCACAGTGCATACTTTTTTTAGGGTGAGTCAGTCCTCTACTTTATCCAGAGGCTCTGTCCACAGGAACCCTCAGCTTCCACTAGACGAAAGGTCTTCGAAAGCAGGAGGTGCGTCGACCGAAGGCCTGTTTTGTTCCCTGCTGCATCCGAGTCCCCAGAACAGAGCCTGACCCGCTGGACGCCCTCCATAATCTTTGCCATGAACTTGTAAAGTTTATTTCTGAAGCCAGGTGCTATGTATGCAGGTGCCTGTCATATCACCTTTATACATTTTGTATGCCTGGGATTTATTATAATAAATTTACAAATTATAGCATCAACTAACTGCTCTTGTTTTAAAATCAATATCTTTTGGGGTGCTGGGCGGCTTAGTTGGTTAAGGGCCTCTTGATGTTGGCTCAGGTGGTGATCTCACAGTGCGTGAGTTCGAGCCCAGTGTCGGGGTCCGTGCTGACAGCTCAGAGCCTGCTTGGGATTCTGTCTCTTCCTCTCTCTGCCCTCCCTGCTTGCACCCTCTCTCCCATTCTCTCTCCTCCCCTCTCTCTCAATATAAATAAACTTAAGAAACAAAATAAAATAAAATCAGCTTTTATTCTAGCTAACTGAAGGACTCAGTGGGGAAGTCCAAGTGTAAAAGGACTCTGAATAGTCCCTTACTCAGTTTCAAGTCTCAAACAAGGACACGATATGTGATGTCAGACCTCAGATGTGCTGGCAGGCCAAGGGCACTGCTTGGCCAAGTGGTGTTTTTCTCAGCTGGCTTCTTCTGCTTCTGCTTTGTTCCTCAGACCATGAAAAGCATTTCTCGTGCCAATGCTCTGACTCCAACCGCATATGGGACTTTTCCTCAGGTTTTATGGAAGCCCAAAGCCTTGATTTTTCAGGGGAAGGGGTGGGCCAGACTCCTTTTGGGGCCATAAAGCCCTCTTTAACCCATCTTAATCTGCAGTCTGTAAATGTTTTTATGTTAATTACATTTCAAAACAGTATATTTATAAATAGCATATACTTCTGCATGTTTGAGTTTGGCTTTTTTTTTTTTTTAAACAAGGGGCAGGCATTTCTTTTGCAATACAGAGCAGGAAAACAAAAGGTGAAAATAGTGATTTTTATAAGCATTATCTCAACTGCGTGAAATATTTAAAATTTAAAGACCATACCAAAGGGGCGCCTGGGTGGCTCAGTTAAGCGTCCGACTTCGGCTCAGGTCATGATCCTGTGGTTCCTGAGTTCGAGCTCCACGTCAGGCTCTGTGCTGACAGCTCAGAGCCTGGAGCCTGCTTTGGATTCTGTGTCTCCCTCTCTCTCTGCCCCTCCCCTGCTTGTGCTCTCTCTCTCTCTCTCTCTCAAAATCATAAATAACATTAAAATGGATTTTTTAAAAACTTTAAAAAATAAAAATAAAGACCATACAGAAAAGGAGCACAACATGTATTTCTGGGTGGGGGCATTACCAGTAATTCTTGCTCTATTTTTTAAGAAAACGTTAAACTTTTATATCTTAGAATTTTCTAAAATGGGCCTTATATGTATATATGCATGCATATACGTGTGTGTGTGTGTGTGTGTGTGTGTGTGTGTGTGTGTGTGTAACTATAGTAATTATGTATGGCTGAGCCTCTAATCAGATTGCTTACAGAGGTCATGGCGACTAGAAAAAACAAAACTGTCCCTTGCCTGATGCAGACACCTGTCTGCAGTGACTAATCATACCCTGATACCCCAGAAGTCACAAATCATAGAGCTTCCCTTTGTTTCTGGACTCAGTGCCCAGACCTGCTAGGCAGGGGGAAAGGTTACAGCTGGGTCATCAGACTTTAAGAACCAAAGGAAAAGAGACACTCCAGAAGAGTCAGGCTGGAGAAGGAACTGAGGGCAAATGGGGTAGGTATCTAAACCCTTGAAGACAGGAATGTGCTAGACACGCCAGTGGGTCAAGGTCTAGAGGCACCACTAACTCCAGCCCCCCTTCCTCTGAACGTGTGGGAAGTGGGGGCAGGAGAGGGAAGGGAGGAGCATCACAGGAGATTGAAACTCACTCACAACACTCAAGACATTTCATGTTTCAATCTCCTCCCTCAGCAAATATTTGACTCGACACGAGGAATGATCCTGACTTTTCTTACTTAGGTTAAGGGACTGAGGTTCTCTGCCATCACACAGGGCTCATAGCGATGGTGAAGGGGACAGTGTCATCTCACAGGATTACGTACGAATGGGAGTAGAGATAGAGCAGCTTTGGCATCATGGTATGCCGTGAGTGTTCATTTAAAGGCTAGATTTGTGTCGTCTGTATTTTATCTTTAAGCTTATTTATTTTGAGAGAGCAAGCAGGGGAAGGGCAGAGAGAGAGGGAGAGAGAGAGAATCACAAGCAGGCCTCGCAGTGGCGGCACGGAGCCCGACGCGGGACTTGAACTCATCAACCGTGAGATCATGACCTGAGCCGAAGTTAAGAGTCAGACGCTTAACTGACTGAGCCACCCGGGCGCCCCCAGTTTTCCTTGCCGACAGCAGTCCTGAGCAGAATCTCTACAAGTCCCTGGCAGCTGGCAAGTAGAAGGGACCAACCGAAGAATAAACAGAGAAAGATCGGTCGTCCCAGAATAAACGGAGTTTGGCTGGGTTTGGCCTGGGGCAAGAAAGCTACCAAGTTCTTGTCAGAGGGGATGCTTGCAGCCAGGACTACTAGAAGGAAGAGTCACACGGGTGGGCTGGGGACACCCCCCGCAGAAGGCTCCTCCTGCCGCAGTCCTTACCAGAGCTTGCGGCTTACCTGGCACTTTTAAGTCCGCTTCTGGTGCCCGCGTGGGTCTCAACCCTGCAGGCAGACACGTTTACTGATACCGCACACACGGAACAGTCCTGTCCCCTATTTCATGGTTAGTGCTGGAGCTGGGACTCCAATTCAGGGGTCCTGATTCCAACTCCACATTCCTTCCATGACCCAGTGTTCAGAGCAGCAGAGCCCCGACCCCTTTTCAGACACCACGCGACAGTTCCTGCATACATACACGGTCACCGTTCTCGCACATTGTGCTCTTTGGCTGATCGCTCAAGAGAGGGACGGACGCTCGGCGTACCGTTGGGGGCAGGTGGTCGTCTCTCAGGAGGACTTCCTCTGCATTTGTCCTATAAATTTCTCCCACATCTTATATAGGCAATACCGGGCGAGCTATGCAACCTGTGTAGGTCTCTAACGTAACTAGAGTAACAGCGACAACACAAATCTTTATGATTCGTGATATGGCTTGTTGATTATTCCTCTCTGGGAAAGTTGCTCTAGCAAGTAAGCTCTTCCCTAGCCACACTGTCCCTTTGTGCAGCAACACGAAACAAACCCTGCTTGGGACCAGACACTAGGAACTGGTTTTAGGCATCCAAACCTATCTCCTCTCGCATCGCTCAATCCCTCATAAAGAAGGGCAAGAGGAATGCCCATTATCCTTGGATCAGCACTCGGGATTTTACGTTGATCTTTCAACACTTCAACAGTATTGACTTGGGTAATAATTTACCTAACTGATTTCTGCACATAAAGACTCTAAAGATAAAAGCAAATTCTCTAAGAGATTTTGGAAAAAACAAAAACAAAAACAAAAAAATTAAAAAAAACCAACGCAGCTTTGATGGATAGAAAATTGCTTTCAAAGTCCAGTTACCTAGGCAACCTGCTATTATCTACCCATTACTGAAAAAGACATAAGAAATCAGTTTGAGCAAAGGCATTCTCTCTCTCTCTCTCTCTCTCCAGAGTTGAGTTACCTGAGGCACAGCCGTTAACCTTTGTGGCGTGAGCCATGCTGGCTGGAGTCCAACGACAGATCCAGAAAGGAGTGAGGAATCATGCAAATTTTATGCATCAAGTTCCCAAACGCGATCAACCTGAAACAATGAAGACAGCCTCATCAAAATGGATCATTTAAAAATGTGTACAACACTAAATCTTAGACGTCTGTTTACAAAGATGGCTGCTAATGGAGAGAGCAAATCGAGAGTCGGGGAGAGATGGCCTGTGGATGGGGGTGATGACGGCCTGGCCCTGCCACTCGGTGCTGAGATTCACGTACCTGCAGATGTGCCTGTGGACGGGCACCCAGAGCAGGGCTCTAGACATGATACTCTTATCGGAGATGGAAATGGTTCTCCAGAAACGTGACATTTTTAGGAAGGTGGCCTTCAAATACCAAGGGCCTCCTCAGGGGCATCATTCCCTAGCCTACCACAAATCCACTACAAACCATTTTTGGTACTTTACAGAACAATTTATTTATTTTTGAGAGAGAGACAGAGAGAGAGCGAGTGCACAAGCAGGGAAGGGGCAGAGAATCCAAAGCAGGCTCCAGGCTCTGAGCTATCAGTATAGAGCTTGATGCGGGGCTTGAACATGCAAACCTAGAGATCATGACGTGAGCTGACGTCGGATGCTTAACCGACTGAGCCACCCAGATGCCCTGACCATTTGTGGTTCTTAAACGTAACGTCTTTTCCAGATGCTGGCTCAACACCTTCAAGGTAGTTGCTGTTGTAGCAAGCCTTCACATTTTTAAAGGACTGATTCACGGGAACCCTTCTGAGGTATCTCGAAGTCTTTTGCCTACTCGGTCTTTTAAAACATAAATCTGAGCCAGTCAGCTCCCCTCTTAAAAAAGTCTTCAATATCTCCCACTGTCCTGTCAGATAACCTTCAAATGACAGTATGGCACAGCACATGGTTCGGAAACATTAGGGGTCACGACAGGCACCATATTTCTTACTTTATATTGATCCTCTACTTAAAAATTAACTGAGATTACTACTATAAGACATAGTAGAAACACAAAATTTAAAACAAAAAAGAAACAAGAATAGTAACAGGAAGGGAACATTGCTCTAACCTCTGCTTTTTCAAAACGCCTTTTGAAAAATGCTGGTAAGGAAAGTGAACAATGGTATAGAGGAAAACAGTCCATTTCCACTGTGCCCAGATCCTAACTCTAGACCCACAAAACCCGAAGAAACTGATCTAACAAATTCCAAGTTGGGAATTCAAGTGTCGGTTCAGAAACCCGCAGTGACCTCCCTAAAAGAACAAAATGCTGGGGCGTCTGCGTGGCTCAGGGGGTTAAGCGTCCGACGTCGGCTCAGGTCACGATCTCACGGTTTGTGGGTCCGAGCCCCGCGTCGGGCTCTGTGCTGACAGCTAGGAGCCTGCTTTGGTTTCTGTCTCCTGCTCCCTCTGTCCCTCCCCACGTGTGCTCTGTTTCTCTGTCTCTCAAAAATAAATAAATGTAAAAAATAAAATAAAATAAAGAACAAAATGCTAATACATACGCATATACACGTCTAATGCAGCCAGTGAAATCACTTAAGAGCTTTCAATAATGTAGTAAAATACTCAGAGAACATCGATAAAAATTGTATTGTCATAAACCCAATTTTGTGAAAAATATGTACATATTTACACATTGATTTAAAACCCCAAGAAATAAATACACCAAAATGTTCCTTATGGTTGCCCCTGGCTGATGCAATTAGGGAGGAACTTAGCTCCTTTGTTAGATTTGTAATAGTAACTATTAAAAAAAAAAATAAAGATTGGAGACTTCCCGTCTCTGGTTTTATTTGCTTTCAAGTGCACGGGAGAGAGAAGAAAGAATTTTCAAAACGCAACGTGAAAGGGAACTATGAGGCCACGGTCATGGAGAGTGTAAGAAGTGAGAAATCCAAGTACATAGAAGGCAGGCACAGGAAATGGCTGATCTCTGTGATCACACAGTGACAGTCACTAGCTGAAGAGCTAGTGAAATTGTCTTCGCTGCCTGAATGGGTTTTCGCTTGTAGTTCAAAGCGAACTATTTACTGTTCCCTTGCTTGGCTTTTCCAGCTTTGGGGACTGCCACTCCGCCGGCAGAGAGCGGATTCTCAGCCTCCCCCGAGAAGCTCCCTGCTGGTCCCCACTTGGTGTGTGACAGCACACCAGGAGGAAAGGATGGCTCTAATCTCTCTGCAGTCACCTGACATTCTGTTGGAAACAGGCACCGGTCCGGGTCCATGGCATTGAGCTTGGGAAGCAGTAACCTCCGTGCGGGCAGAGCTGGCTTTAGGGATACAATGAGCATTACCTTTAAGAATAGGAATGACTACACAGGTCTGGCAAATGTAGCTTGGTTAAAAAAAAAAATGTGGGGACTGGTAGAGAAGAAGGAAGAGAGGGAACAGGGAGATAAGGGGACAGAGGACTTCCTGGCCAGCTTCTGAAATTCTTCAACTGATTACACTTTTGAAAGCCAACAAAAGCAAATCTAAGCTGATTCGTGACCCCTTTCTAGATTGGTGCGCTGGGCTGGTGCTCTTGCTTCAGAATGGCTTGTAAATACCACCCCTTAAACTCGTGAGGGCAAACAGAAGGCAAGAAGAAACAGGCTGCATGTGTTATGGGTGCATGAAGTAGGTGTCAAGGTATTTGGATGGAGATATGCCCAGAATCTCCTGAGTGAAGCTTCATAAACTTTGGTCCAAGGTCCCCTCCTGTTAGTGAACACCCTTCGCCTGGCAGAAAATCTTTATGTCCGATCCAAACTGGTCTCTCCCACCCTCCCCCAAACCGAACGATAAAATCAAAAGGAAGGAGAAACTTCAAAAAGGGAACAAGCATGCCACTGGTAATATAATATGTGTCACCGGGTGTGGATCCGGGTAGTGTCTATGCAAAAACAACAGTTTCATATGGTGTATTGATTTTTCCCAGTTATTGTTCATGCCTGACAGGTGGCCTCAAACTGTGAGGACTTAGTCTTCTTAATGATATGCAGATTCTTATGTCAGTGCATTATATAAACCAGAAAAGGGTTGGCCATGTTCCATTCTCTGTTACAGATCAATAAACTGCTTCTTTTCTTCCCCAGAGAAGGCTGCAAACCAGTAAATCTTAAGCGGTACAATGGTGGCTTAGTTGAGCTCACTAAGAAAAAGCACTCCTTTGAAAGCCTCTAGGGAAATACATCAATACAGAAAATAAAGAATTTGTCGTCTTCTCTATTTCAAGCGACAAATCTGAAGAACATTTTAGTAGCTCCCCGAGCACAGCGCAGAGAATAATGTAGACGTTGCATGAATTTATCCCGTAAACGCATGACATTAGTTCAATACGAAACCAACGGGAGGAACAGCCCACCGGGTCTTCTCTAAGAAAGCATTAGTGAAAACAGATAGATGAACTTGAGATTTGACATATACCCTAGACTGGCTCTGGCAACCAACCAAATGCCACTGCCTTGGTTAGAGCCCAGATAATGACGACGAGGACACTGCTGATGACCAAGCAGATGACAGCTGGTATTCACTGAGCTCTTACTCTTATCAGTTATTGAGATACAAATGGTATCCATTCTATGGTGCACCATTACTTTAAGTAGCACTGATTAAAAACTAATGTTGCTAATTAAACAGTCTTAAAATGCTTATTAAGATTATATTAATTGCAGGATATATCCTCATCTCAGAAATGTTAGAATGTGAAAAATGTGCATCTTAGAATTTGTGAACTTATGTTACAGTCAGGGCATTTAGGTTTTTTAAAAATTTATTTGGGGGGGCATGAGTGGGAGAGGGACAGAGAGAGAGAGAGAGAGAGAGAGAGAGAGAGAGAGAGAGAGAATCCCAAGCAGGCTCTGCACTGTCATCACAGAATCCTATGTGGGGCTTGATCTCATGAACCACGAGACCATGACCTGAATTGAAATCAAGAGTTGGATGCTTAACCAACTGAGCCACCCAGGCGCCCCACATTCAAGGCATTTGTTAAAGCACCTAACAGTTATCACCTCATTCAAACTTCACAATAACCCTGCGAGCTACTAAAAATTCTCTCTCCCCATTTTACAAACAGGAAGCTCAGGCATAGGGAGGTCAGAACACGCCTGGCTAGGGGTGCCTGAGTGGCTCAGTCGGTTGAGCGTCCGACTTTGGCTCAGGTCATGATCTCGTGGTCCATGAGTTCAAGCCCCGCATCGGGCTCTGTGCTGACAGCCTGGAGCCTGAAGCCTGTTTCCGATGCTGTGTCTCCCTCTCTGTCTGCCACTCTATCGCTCATGCTCTGTTTCTGTCAAATATAAATAAACATTAAAAACAAACAAAAAAAACATGCCTGGCTCACAGAACTAGGACGTGCCAGAGTCAAGTGTAGGGGTGAGCAATCCAGCCCTAGAGCCCGCACTCCAGCCCTCATGGGTAAGGGCCCTGTTGCTTTCACAAGTAAAAATTTATGCACCTAAATAAGGGGAACCTTTCAAGGCCCTCACCTGAGGGATGTATACGCTTACTGAAAGGATACTTAAATTCCTTTTAGAAAGAAAGCTATGTTTCAGAATTTTAGGGCATTTGTTTTTGAAGCAACTGTATTTCCCGTCTTAGTCCTTGAGATGACATGTTTAAGAGCCTGAGGAGGGACTTACATGACACATAGGAAAGGCCATCATATGCGCCCATCACACTTTGAACGGGACCCCCCAGGATACTCGTCCATGTGGCTATCTGCCTTGTTCCTTAGACTGTACTACGGATGTCATTTGACTCAATACGTTAAGTACTTTTTCACCTGACCAACATGCTCCCCCACTCAGGGTTAGGTGGGAGGCTCCCAATGGAATCATAGTAATTTCAAAAATGGACAGACTCAGGGCAGTCAAATTGGAATAAGAACCTTCCTGTTCAAATGACAAGTGTTAAGAGGGGAAACCACCGTTTTGATGTACACGTTCTGGAATCTCTTCTACAACATGTCATAGTATTGTTTCTTTTGCTTCACAAAATTAACAACATAGTTATACCTAAAATCTGGAAAAGACAGAAAAAATAGTCACTCATAATCTCTCAGTGCTGACGTGGCCATCATGACCAGCTGA